CTTACATTAAACCAATAAATAATTAACAATAAGTTAATTAAATGTACAGAATTTACAAACACAAAATGAAAATACAACAAAGTCTGTTAATTTTACAAGACGTTTCTTCTTTCATACTGGTCTCTGTCTCATTGGCTTATGCTTCACGTGAGATTCATCTGCTCCATCAGGAAATGTCCCATTATCAGTAGCAGTCACATTAGTGGTAGTATCTTCATTAATGGCTTCAATGTTTTCCCTCTCAAGGCTGGGTAGAATTTTTTCTTCAACAGTGGCTTTTCCAGGTGACACGTCTTCAGCATCATTTGTTCTGATGTTCATTTTGTTCCTGGACCGTGATAATGCCAAAGCCTATTGGTATGCACTACCTTTGGCTTACCTCGCCGACCACATTTTATTCGGAAAGTCACGTCTTAGAGACGATCCACTATGTCATATGGGCCTTCCCATGGAGAAGACAACTTAGGAAACTTCCCTTTGGTCTTCCTGGGATTATACAACCACACCTTGTCTCCTGGTACAAAGCTGACTTCAGTAGATCTCTTATCATAACATAGCTTCATGGAATCAGCAGAAGTTTTTAATTTGAATGTACTTGATGATGAATATCATCCATCCTTTCAGATAACACTTTCACGAACTCTGACACATTTTCAGGCAACTCTTCGTAAGGTGGGCGTCCTGTTATCAGGTCTACTGGCAACCGAAGTTCCCGACCAAACATCAGCTTTGCTGGAGTGTATCCAGCGTCTTCATGCTCTGCTGTTCTATAGGCCATCAACAGTGAAGGGAGTAAGACATTCCAGTCATCTTGGCGGCTATTACAAAATATTGCCAACTCCTGTCCCAGTGTCCAATTGTATTTTTCTCCCATCCCATCAGACTGTGGGTGAAGTGGCATTGTCCTGGCCTTTCGTATGCCAAACAACTTGCAGCATTCATGGAACACAGTTGATTCAAAGTTATGGCCTTGATCTGAATGCAGTTCGTATGGCATAACAAATCTGAAGAAGAAATCACTAATAGCTGAAGCTACAGTTGTAGCTTTCTGATTTGGTATTGCATATGCTTCAGGCCACTTGCTGAACAAAATGTACTTCTTTCCAGCACGAGTTTGGACGCAATGGACCAGCAATGTCAATGGTTACTCTTTCCATTGGTGCACGAACTTGATATAACTTTCATTGGAGCACGTCCTT